TAGTCAAGTATATGAGTCTTTTGTAATTAATGGGAAGTTTAGAGCGTTTGTCTAGTAAGTGCTGAAGTAATTGGAAACGTCGAGCGGTTTCTTGTCGTTTCAGTCTAGTTTGAGGATTCCAAGTTAGTCGTTTGTCCAGGTGGAGTCCTAGGTATCGGATTTGCTCAACAGGGATAAGCGGAGTATTGTTAAAGGAAACTGTAGGACAGGAAGTCGTTGGTTTACGACGAAGGGTAAAGGTAATTTGGTGAGATTTATTGGAGTTTATTTTAATTCTCCAGTTTTGACATCATTCTTCTAGATTTATGATGCGTGATTGAAGCATTTCGGATGCAATTGCTTGGTCATTGTTTAGGATACATGTGTCATCGGCATATGTGGTGATGACAGTGTTGGGACAGGTAGGGATGTCAGTTGTATAAACTGTATAGAGGATAGGACCTACGATACTACCTTGAGGAACGCCAGCGGACTGATATTTCAATTCAAGTGGAAAGCAAACAGGTATAAATGAGTTTTAGTACATAATTAATTTAATGAGAAAAGATCACATTTCTGAGAATTTTAAAAGATAAAACATTTGCTGGTTACCATACGATGAAGCCTACCAACGAAGTTTTAGGTGGGTGTTAATGATTTTATAAAAAGATGTCTCTACCATGGACTGCTACTTCCGCTTACATATGGACAACCGTATTTTTTTTTATAGATCTATTTTTCAAAAAAAAATTGACATTGGTCAAGTTTCAAATCCAAATCCATGTGATGTACATAACATCTACATATTGGGAATGATGGGCAAGTATGCTCAAACGTCATTTAGTAGAGGCTAGTTGCATAGTTTCCTGTGCCGGTTCAAACTCAGTCCAGGCGGGTTGAAATTAGGGGAGATCGATTTTACCTTCGATGGTACCTACATCGATATTTTAGAATATCGATATCTTTTTCGGAAAACGCTTGAATGATATATAAATGTGATCGTTAGAAACAAATATACTCTTCTTGCCTGTACCACATTGAATCTAATGAATTAAATGAAAATATTTTTTTAATACCTTGGGACTTTTGTCCCTTCAGGACAAATTGCAGACACAGAAAAAATGCCTGAGTGGCCATATATTAAATTAAATATTTACAAATCTCGTTAAAATTAAAATATTGGAATAAGAAAAAAAAAAAAAAGAGATCTATATAAAACAAACATAGGAAAATAAAATAACATTAATCAACAACATCATTTCTGGGAAAACTTAAAAAGTTTTCTTATGTACATTTCGTGATTAATCGGGTTGGGAAGTAGTAGGTGCTTAAAAAAGAGAGATTTAAATGAAGAAACTGTCGGATGTCACGATGGATGGTATTATAGAAGTAGGCCGCTTCAATTGTAAAGGATTTGTCAAACGCAGCAGTTCGGTGAGGAGGAGGATAAAGGTCGGAAGTAAGGGATCTAGTGAGACGGGATTGAATGGAGTATTTAAATTGTAAAAATTTCTGATGTATTGTACTAGAAAAGTAGCCAGGAAGTACAGGTGGACGGGGTGGCCAAATGGGCTAACGAGTGTGCACAGCACCACCGTTGCCCGGCAACCTGATATATGAGACCACGATGAAAAATAGTCACGAGTTCGCATCCTTGTGCCGGGGGAGTCTTTTAAATCCCCATCCACATTCCCTAGTCCGGGAAAACTCCGTATAGCCGTAAAGGCGAGGAAGGGGAGGACCCCAGAAACAAAAAAAAGCTAGGGAGCACAGACGGCGGTTGGATGGACAGAGGTTTAGTGAGCAGTAGAAGAAAAAATTGATATTTCGATAAGATCGGCTATCGATTTCCATCTTTATGTAGAGTTGAATAACGTGAGACTCAGTAAACTCAATTTGCCCAAATTTGTTAGTTAGAACCTTCTCAAAGCAAGGCCACGAATAGTCAAATAAATCTATGTATGATGCAAATAAATTAGCGTTTTGCTGAGTCATATCTATGGGTGAATATAAAGCATAATTAGTTGAATGTAAATTTATGGGGGAAAAAAACTGAGGAGGGCGAAGATGAACAGTAACTAGAAAATTAATTTTACTAAGGAGGGTGGAATAATTAACATTTCTATAGAAAAATAACATCTTTTTTCATGAGTCTATGTTCTAAAGAATCAACATTTATATTGATAGTCACATTTATTTATTTGTTTTTGTGTATTTGTGTTTCGGCCACTGAGGTCATTTACACTGAAGTCTCTTGATTTTTTTTTTTAATTTTATTATAAGTGTCAATAGTTTTTAAGAATTATAAAGTCGTGAAGTCGTATCTGGGTCTTATCTCAATGTTTGTTCTGGGTATGTAGAGAATCTGTAGGAGTCGTGAGCCATACACTCCGTTAGTATGTGAAGCACTCTTAGAATAAACCCGCAGTAGGAACATGTTGGCGGTTCTTCCTTCTTCATCAGATATCCATGGACAAGTCGAACATGATCAATCCTGAGGCCGGTAAGAACTACCTCTTGTCTGCGTGATAGTTTTAGACTGTTTCGTGGATGGTTGAAACGTTGTTCGATTTTTCTTAATTTATTTTCTCTCATGCCAAACCATTGGCTTTGCAACTCCAGCCATCCTTTTTCATTGATCCAAGATATTAGATCGTTGCGACCACTTATTGAAAATACTTGACCATTTTTTATTGCTCGTTTCGCCTCTGTATATTCAAATTTAATAAATGTTTATAATATTGATATTGGATCTTGGATCCCATCCCTATTTGAAATTTATTTCTTGAGGGATGAATCTCGCCCTTTCCACTCTGGCTGGTCATCAGTAGGATAACCCGCTATAGGACAGAAATGACCCGATAAGTGAAAAAAAAAAAAACATCGTAATTCGATTTGATGAAACTTTCAGGAATCATGAAATATACTCGATGGTCCAAGTGTCATCAAGTTCCGTCATCTTCTATTGCTTAAGTTCATTGTGTTTCTTTTTAACGAGAAAACGGCATCAACGATTGCTTTTTCTATAGAATTCATTCCCAAAAGAACAATCATAGACCTTGAAGCATAGTTAATTATGTACTCTATAGAAATGGTGAGAAAGCTGCAGTGACCCTATTGTGCAATGTTTTTTTTCCTCAAGGACATCTGGTATTATTAATTATAAATATTTGGAATTGACACAATATGAGTGGCCTTATATCAAATACGAACATCTGTCGTTTTTAGAAAGTTGAGAAAAAGTCAATTTTCCTTAATAATTTCTACTCAAACTGTTTCTGATGATTTTATTTAAGAATGTTCAAATCGTATCATGAAATGACATCATTAAAATTAATATCTCCTCAGCCTTTTAAATAATCGGAGGAATTTAGAATAAAAATTAATTAAAGCATTTAAAGTATTTCTACTTGTATTCCTAAGAAAAATTAAATTTGATTTGAAGCTATGTTAAAAGAATTGGCATTTTCTCTATTGCTGAAAAATGACAGTTGTACATCTTTGATATGAAACCACTCATATATTTTCTTAACATTCGACCAATAAAGAATACTGGTCATTATCATAAGACCCTTTCAATTGGCAAATTGACTAACTCCAATTTTGACATTTTTGGGGCAAAGTAATTTTAGTGATATTTCTAGTTGGAAAGTTTATATCTTTACATACACTGAGCAAGTTTATTCCAGAGTAAGTTATTGCAGTGTTGAAATATACTTGATTAACGTACAAACTATGAATTAAGCTATAAATTTTCCCAACTAGAAACATCACTAAAATCAATAATAAAAAATGTTGAAATTGGAGTTAGTCATTCTGTCAGCTGAAAGGCTCATATAGTAGTTTTTTTATTTAATTAATTTTATCTAGAGAAATGGCTACAGCTGACATATAAATGAATATAATGGGACGACTACAAAGGCGTTGGATGAGAGATCTTCTTCCATGTACAATCTAAGTAATTGAAACAAGTCAGGGAAGATGTGCTGCTGTGAAATGTCCTTCCTCATGCCTGACATGTCATTATTTCTTGTATTTTAAGCACATTTGCTAATTGTCAACATAAAGTTGAAAGTTGCAAATTAATGCTTAAAGTCCCCCCCAAAAAACTTAATTTTCTTAGTAATGAGTGATTTAATTTTTTTTTTACTTGAAATTACTTCTTAAAGTTAATACAAAAAGTAGAATGTGGAAAATGAGTTTTTTTTTTACAAAAGATCATATAAAACCTTGTTAGTATAATTTCATGTTTTATTTCCCTGTAATATAAGGTTATTTATTGCATTTGTAGGCCATAATATGTCACCTTTAGCACAAATAGAATTAACATATAAAATTGTAACATACCACATTTTGCATTAACACCAGCGATATGTCTAAATGTTACAAAAACACAATTTCGTCATAGCGTTTTATTCCTTTTATAAACATATCTTGTGGTAGGGTATAAGCAAAGAAGTCTTTATTGTATATCACTTTATCATATCCTTTTTTTCTTCAACTATTTCTAGTATTCTAATAATTCATATATAATTTTTTTTTTTTTTTTTCCTTTTTCTCGCCTCTACCCTAAAGGGTCATTGGCGTTTTCTATGATTTATACTCTGTTATAGTAGTTTACAATTTTTAAAAAAATTAACACTATCGAGACTCTTTCTTCATTATCTTTTAGTATTTCTTTTAGTGTTTTTCCTAGTTCTATTTTTTCTCTGAGCCTTTCGAATTGGGAACATTCTACTAGAAGGTGTTTCACAGTTTGCGGTGTATTGTTACATTTTTTACATACATTTCATATATAATTTATGTAAGTTATATATTATTTTTTAATGTAGCATTCACAAACAATAATAAAAACTTTAAGTAAAGCAAAAATAAGCCAAATAGGTTTAATGGGGTTCGCAATTCAGGTACAATAATGTTTAATCATTTTTAAATTAATTTATCTTTTTATCTAGTTGTATAGGAAGTTTGCTGCTGTGATAATTTTCATTTGTAGGATAAATCAGAACAACTAAATAACAAAAATATAAAAATAAATTTATTTAGATAAATTCCATGGTTATAATAAAAAAAAAGTAATGAAGAATATTTAAAAAAGAAAAGGTACATTGAGCGATGAAATATTTTAGCTAAACTATTTCATCTCTGTGATAATGATGAAGGTGCGTGGAAATGTGTCGTTTCACTTTCGATTATCGTAACTTCCTCAAGCTCTTGATTTCGAGATGATGATATATATGGAGCAGTGATGATATGTTGAAAAAAAAATATTTATTTAATGGTAACCTCCATAATGTCCCAGGCTGTAGGATCCGTGTCCAAGACCGTATCCACCATATCCACCAAGGCCATATCCATGTCCGTATCCACCATATCCATGACCGTATCCACCATATCCATGACCATATCCTCCGTATCCAAGTCCATATCCACCATAATGGCCTAGATCGTATCCATGTCCGTATCCGCCATAGCTGCTAAGTCCGTAGCCGCCATAGCTACCAAGTCCATATCCACCATAGTGGCCTAAGCCAGATCCGCCATAATGTCCAATACTGCCATATCCAAGACCATGTCCATATTCCAAGCCGTAGCCTCCTTTAAAATAAATAAAAATATTAAAATGAGTAAATATTAGTAATATCATACTTTTCTATCGCAGTAATTATCGTATCATATAAGAGCAAACAATTCGAAATAAAAATTCAATGAGTGTGTGAAACACCTTTTAAATTTCTTTTCGATAACAATTTCCTACATTTCTGGAAGACAACAAATTTTATTAATGATGGAAAAATATTTGAATGAAGATAATATGGTTGAAAAGTTAGGTTTGGTTGGTACTCACTCTATACACAAATCAAAAATATCAGATTCTTTGCACAAGTAACATGTACTGGTTTATGGCATGAATCTTAGACCTGAACTTCGATACAAAATAACATTTTTTTTAATTTTTTTTTTCTCGCTGTGACAACACCCTCCGATTGACTTCTAAACCATAAAAAAAAATGTCCGACTTACCGATTCCTCTCTTATTTTTGTCTTTGGGCTCCTCAACTGCTAGGGCAACAGCGAACAGAGCGATGCAGAGAACGATCTAAAAGAAAATTTTAAGAGAATTAATCATTAGAAAATTTTTTATGAATCATGATTTAGAACCCAATGTTATGAGAGATTCATCCCTCTTATAACATTAAGTAGTATGGTAAATATTGGAAATAACTTTATTTTTTATATCAATTTGGCCAATTATCACCAACCATTTTATTGATACGCTATTTAATTCGACGTTCCGACCATACTAAGGGTCATTTTCAAGTCTTATATCCTTCATTAATATCGCAAATAATATGTTCAGTGAACATTAAATTGTCAGGGTCTATCGGGGTTTCACCTACGTCATTTCTGGAGAGACTAACAAGAAACGTCGTATTAAATAGCGTATCAATAAAATGTTTGGTGATAATTGTACTAATTTATATAAAAATAAAACCTCAAGACACAAAAATTAGGATAAATGAATAGAAGACATATTTTTTTTTTTTTGTATGCTACTAAATGCATTATATCCTCAAACAACAATTAAAAAATATTCGAATGTTTCTAAAATTGAAGATTTAAACTTTTTGAATAAGGGATAATTGTGAATGAAGAATAACAATATTTAAGATTAAGTTAGTGTTTCGATATTTTTAAATTTGTATTTCTTCTTTTTGTTAAACTTGACTACGTTCTTCATATCATATATTCTATACTCATCATATTTTATTATATATATATGATATTGTTAAACATTTAGTACTGGATGGATGCTGAAATTTTGCTTTTTTTTGTTTTTTCAGTTTCTTTTAACGATAAAAATATTCTGAACTAATCCACATTAAATATTTTAAAAAGAAAGAAATTAAAATGAGCATAATCTATATATCATAATTTTCACAAATATTATGTTCTTCTTAATAACGCAAAATAACATGTTTTATATCATAAGAACCAGGGTTTGAAATACAATTTTATCTTTTATTTTATAATCAGATTCGGTACCGCTGGAAACTATTCCAATTTTTTAAAATGTTATTTCCGAACTAAAACTTCGTCCCTTGCAACTTTTCAAGTAAAGGTATTTCAAAACTTTTATTTAAAAAAATAAACGATTTTGTCAAAAGTTCGATCTAAAAATTTACTTTTTATTCTTAGCTACTCAAACAAGTAAACGACATATGAAAGTCATGTAATCGAGCTAAGATAAATTATAACCCCAATCTAAGCCATAGGTTTTTTCCTAATAACATTTATAAACACAATTAACATAAATTTAAAAAAAAAAGTTACGTTAAATATGTCAATCTCTGAAAAAACACAAATTAATGTTATGAAAATTAACACAAATTTATCACTCAAAGATATTTGCACGTGCATGTTTATAGTGCGGTGCCTACTATGCTTTTATTGTATAATAAAATGATATAAAACATTAAATAGTCAGAAATTATTACGAAAATGCTGTTGAAGAGAATACCGCTTAAGTTTCTTGCTTACTGTTACGCTATCGTATAAGTTAAAGTACTTCATTCATAATGGTATTCGTTACAGAAATCTTTGGGGAAAATAATTTCTGAAATGAATCATTTACTCTTCTGCCGTATATTTTTTCTCCCGGAATACAAGGAATAAAATATTAAGATTCTACTAAAGGAAAATTAGATCAGCTTTAAGTATTGCGTGTCGTTGGTCTGTTGAAAGTTCAGCAACTATCCATACGTGGTTGCACAATATATAGGTGTCCGAAGTAGTCCTGTGTGGTAACGGGTTGACAGCAAGTGCTTAGTCAACCGGCATTAGATATAATTAAGATATGTATATGTCTTGTGTCGTGCAGGAAACATAAAAGTAGCGGAAGTGATGAGATACGGGGATTACACACAAAATGGTAATCTGAGTTCATAATGCAATTAAATGTGAGTTGTTAATTTTTTTTGTTATTTTAACTTTTTCTTATTCATTCTTTCAATCTAGTATTATTTTTCAATCTTTAAAAAAAAAATTCAATCGTTGGTATAAATTAAGCGATTTTCAGTATTATTTTTTTAAACTCCTTTCTAAACAAATGTTTTATATAGGTATGAATTTTCATCAAGATGAAATAATTAAATATCTAATTAAATCTAATTTTCTTCATCATGGCTTTTTATTTTTATTTTTTTATAACTTTATATGTATTTATTTTTGTATTGTTTTAAATAACTTTATATGTATGTATGGTATGAACAAAGACTTAGAACTGTAATACTATATAGCTTATATTATTATTATTCTGTTAAAACTGTAGACAAACTAGTTAATTAAAACTGTTAAATAAACCTATGGATTCTGCTAACTGCGGTACGATTTTCTACATTTTTAAATTAAAATAATTTTAATCATAAACAAAGTCTCTTGGGAATTTAATTTTTTTTTTTGCAAATTGTCACCGTTATTCTCTGGCAGGTAAATTTTCAACTAGCTTTTGTGCTTGACAAATAAAAGATAACCGATTATAAAAGAATTCATCTTTTGTTGACCCAACTCCATTATTTTCTCATTCGTTATTTTATTTCCAATATCGAACTCTAAATTAATTGTTTAAATATATTTTTCGTGGCTTGACATTTCCATGAACACGTCATAATTTAGACAAAAATAGTTTTATAAATTATCTTCTCACAATTTTGACATAATGCAAACTTCAAGATTTCGTGAAACCTTTTTTTTTTTTTATTAAAATAAATGAATTTGATTAACTTCAAGTTTATAAACCTTTAGTCAATTTTTTTTTTCTTATCCCCAGTTTCATACATGTTTCGTTCCTTTCATATCATTAAAATGTTCCTTTTACTGTATCTTAGATACATTTTAAGCTCTTTAGATAATGTACTAATTACGAGAATGAATCCATCTCAACCGACATTTGGTAATTTTATTATATTACAAACCATAAGAATTTACTCAACCAACATTACTGGTTAAACGTTTTAATTTCAATATAATGGAGTAATAATTCCATGCATATCAAACAAGTACTAATAAATAATATTTTTTTTCTGCTTGGTCAGGATTAAAACGTATTTATACAAACTCTTTCTATGACCACTTAGGTTTAGAATAGATGACTATGGATCATGGTATTGCAGTATAATAATGACAACACATCTTCGAAGGGTTTAGGCAGCATAACTTTAATGACAGATGTTTTGGACGTAATTAGAAACTCGATAAGTAAGTTTATTAAAATCAGGTCATTAATAATTTACTACGGTTTATAACTAGTCCGTCAGTCCTAAGAACACCAGACAAGAGTTATATCTGGTGTATTCATAAATAAAAACTACGTAGCTAGTTGGAAATATAAAACTGGGCTTAACTGTCAAGGCGTACTATTTATCTCGATTGCATTCCCTTGAGGACTGCGACCTATAAGATGCTCTACGATCGGAACGACTTTCCTTTTATTTGGCAAAAAGATGTGTGACCAGCTTTCTAGAACACTTCCGTTTTGCCTTAATCCATTTAGTGGCAAAGTTATGAGGCTCTATCCCTAACTAATACATACGCACCGTTAAAAATAATTTATTATAAAAGAAAAAAATATATAAAAATTAATAGTTAGTTTTGGAAGTCACTATTCTTGAAAGTATAAATTTTAGTGATTATTGCTGACCGTTGTTAACAAATAGATATTTGTTTTTATCGTGTGTTTTTTTTTTTTTTTTTTTTATGAATTCTTAGCAATATTAGACATACCCAACAAAAAGTATATATTTTAAAATAAATGTTCTTTTTAACATGCTTGGTATTTTTTACGTTACTAATATCATTTCTCAGAATGAACTTTTATTTCTGTTTCCGGATTGAAGCAGTATAGAAGATTCGAGAATTAATATAAGAATAAATTTGGCAATGATATTCTGATACAGTCGAAACGCATAGTATATTTTTCGAGTGACTAGGTTCTTTGGAAAAAAATATATTATGCAGATATTTTTGTAAATAGAATTATTGCATTTTTTCATCCCTGTCATAGAGAAAATAATTAAAATTATTCTGCAGAGATAAAAATTATCAAAGGCGTTTTTTTATAATTGTATATAGTTTCTGATTTCCTCGAAAATTTCTAGATGTTTTAGTAATTCAATATACAGAATATCTTTTTATTATAAAATTCAATGATTATAAAACTAATTCGGTGTATAGAGATTTTTGATATATGTCATTTCGTTAGGAGATTCTACTAAATTATTCTTAAAATAACATTTCATTTTAGATGTTATCATTTGTGTGTCCTCTGGCATTAGCATTTAAAATGTTAGTGCGAATGCAAGAAGCGTTACTATATTTCATAGGTTTCCTGAAATAATATATCGAGTGAATATGCAATAGCATATCCTGAGGTCAAGAAAGATTTCTTGCAGGTAGGAGAACTGTAACCATTTCAACCTACTAACTTGATTTCAACGTTGTCTATAGTTTGAACGGAACCTCAATAAAATTGTAACCGTATTTCTTATGAATTTATTGGAACATGAAAAATCATTATATATTTTCGAAACATTAAATACCTAGTTTTTTACAGTGGTATAAGCATGGATAGAGTGTTCTGCAATTGATCCATCACTGAAAACAAGTAATGAGAGTTGATGACCGAAAAGTTAACTTAAATTTTACATTGCATATACATATGTTTATTTATATTCAAACTAAAAATTAATTTCAATTCGGAATATTATATAAATATAAATAATCTATAAATCCGTAAAAGATTTGTTGAAGCCAAACTGACTAGAAAAAAAAAATAATAAAAAAAAAATTTATAAACCAAAAATCAGAATACTATAATAAAATATGAAACAACATGATAAAGTTTTTGTATATAGTTTATTGCGTAGAATCAGTAAGAAAAAATGTATTGAATTTCGAATACATAAAATAGAATTGCCAGAAATGAACCCAGAACTTTTAATTAAAGTAACTGTGTTCTGGGACATGCCAAATTATTGACTTGAATACAGAATAAATTTGATTTAAAAATAATTCAATTTAAAAAGTGTTTAATGAATAACCCTAACGAAAATATTGAAAAAGTAGAACAAACAATAGATTTTGAGGTCATCAATATCTTGTGGGGGATAACGAAGTGCGTCTACAAATGCCGTAGTCTGAATGAAGACTCTAAAATAAGAATCATTCCAAAACAACCAATGGAATTTAAATGGAGTTTGTCATATGCATCATATAGTGTGGTTTTGTCATGTATAGTGTTGGATAGTGTTGACAATACGCATACTCCAAGAAATAAAACATCAAAAAAACATACACATAAATAAAATGAGTGCAATTAATTATATTAATTTATTTTAATGATAAATAATTGTTAATTCACTCCAGGAAATGTATTTAAAGAAAAAGACAACTAGAGAGATATTAAATAAATCACATAAATAGTTATTAATTATTTTTACTTTAGAAGTCTTCTTTCTTGAAGAAATTTCTTACAATTTAAAAGTGCAATGTTGTTTCTTAAGCAAACATTTGAAATCATATTTTGTAAACTTTTAACTGTAAATTTTTATTTGATTCGATTGTTATTTTATTAATTTTTAAACTTGTAAATTAAAAAAAAATGTAAATTATGAATGATAATCTTATTGTGCTTTTTAATTATTTTTTTAAATTTTAGACGCCTGGAATCTTTATGTTGGGAGAAAATTACTAATGTGTAAGAAAGGCTTAACAAATTTTTATATAAATACAAATATGGATGTGTTCCAACGATGGTGGAATCTACGATATTTTATTGTTGCTAAAATATATATTAATTAATAAATTATTAATGATAATTAAAATATAATTTATTTTCAAAAGATTAAAATAAATTATGTTTGAACAGCGTCATATTGTTCCTTAAGCTAAAAAAAAATATTTTGTAAAATTCAATTTTGTGATTTGGATTACCTGCATTACATTTTAAATCGTAAACGTTTTTGACGTAGCTCGTAAAAATTTCATTTAATTGAATTCAATTGTAAATTCATAATTAATTTTATTCTTCGTCTTCTAATTCACTCGAGAATAATTATCTTATTCTTATGTGGGATAAGAGCGAGAAAAAAAATATATTCACTTCAGTAAACTTTTTAAAAGTATAAAAAATTTAAATTTTATTATTGAGAGAAAATTATTAATGTGGTCGAAAAAAAAAAATAAGTAAGAAAATATTAATTAAAAAATAAATAAAATGTCATTATTAATACATTTTTGGGAAATTTGTCATCTGAAATGAAAAATAAAAAGTAAAGAAATATAATAGCAACATTAGTATGTTTATATGGAGGTATATGTGTGTGGTGGTCACTGAGTGCGTGTTGTATGTATGTATATATATATATATATATATATATATATATATATATATTATATATGTTTGTGTGTATATGTTTGAAAAACTAATACTCACTAAGGTCTTGTAAGATGCCATTTCTGTAGATTGTAGCTACGAGAAGAGAGGATTTGGTACTGCAAGATACGGGGAACCACCCCCTTTTATAGTACAACTCAACTCAGCAGACAGCCTTGTCCACTACCATCTCCCACCAAGTTTACATAATTCTTAGTGGAGAGGGCTTGCAAGTGATATTTTTTCTTATATATATATATTTAAACATCTTCTATCATTATTACACTCTACTTCATAATAATATACAACAGAAATTATGGAAATTTAATTATACTATATTTTAATTTTTTTTTTTTAAACCGCTTATTCAATTTGATCTGTACAGAGATAGGCAACGACTAAAACTTGTTTACAAGCCTGATTTCTATTTAATATTATTTATTCCTGAATGAAAAATTGTACATAACCTGGTAGAATTAAACTTTTTAATTTTGAGTTACTTTAAGCAATTATCGAGGCGTGAAGTATGTTTTATGAAACTACCTTCTCAAAAACTAATCCTTTGTTGATCCTCGGTTAAATTCGGTATACCATAAATTAATTCGTTGACTGAACATCAAAATGTTCACTGATGAGACATTTTACTTAAGAGCGATGGAGATGCTAGAAAAATGTTGACATTTTTAATAAGCATATTTTTAAATAATTAAATAATTATTTTTTAATTATCCAATGTTAATAAATGAATACTACTTTGGATAAAATATATTGCTTTACTATATATTTTTTTATTCAGAAAAAATCACTTTATTTTCATAAAAGGTTGCTGCACAATATATATATATATATATCTCCATCGCTCTTAAGTCAAATGTCTACCGAATTTAACTGAGGATTAATATATATATATATATATATATATATATATATATATATATATATATATATATATATAATATTGGGTTGCTATATACATAGAATACTTATCAATCGATACAATGGACAATTCTCAAAACTAATTTACAAATATAAAATTTTTTTATGCATCATTTTTTTTTTATTACTCTTATTTTATTAAAATTCTATATCCCTTCCTTTTCCTTTTCTCCCTTTATTTCTGTAATATATTAATAATATATTAAATATATATATATTTTTTTTTTCGGTTGGCTCAACAGACCTTGTAGATCTTTGGCCGCCTCAATGAGCCTTTTCTACATCTGCCTATCTTGGGCTACTGCTTTCCAGTTTGCGGCATGAAGCTCAGCCGTATCTTAGTTTATCCTATCTATCCATCTGGTTTTTGGCCTCCCACGTGGTCTCTTGCCTACTACTCTGGCATTCATTGTCGTGTAAAGGCCGCCTGATCGATTGCTATGAGCTACATGCCCTGCCCATCTTATTCTTCCTTGCCTTCATGTCATGAGATCTTGAGAGACCCGTTTCTTTCAGCAGTTCTTTATTGTTCCTTCTCCTCCAGGTTCTGTTCCGATATAGGACCTGTTATCCTACGTAGAACTTTTCTTTCGAATCTCTCAATTCTGGCTTCTACTGTGCCGGATGGAGCCCAGGTTTCACAACCGTACAGCAGAACTGCCTTAATCACACACACACACACATATATATATATATATATATATATATATATATATATATATATATATATATATATATATATATATCTTGAACAACTACAACTCAAGAAGGGTCTTGGTTTCCGTACTATTTAGCAAAATAACTGTTTCCAGACGTACGGTCGCGCAGCCAGGATGCTAGGATCACGCTCCTTAATAAAATATTTAATTTACTCACTTTATAGTATGTGCTCACTTTACAGAGGCTGTATGTGGCCCAGGAGGGTGGATCCATGGTTGATGTTACAAAATAAATAGTTAAGTATATGAAGTCAGTTTCTTATCCGCTGTGTTACTCCGCTCCCCATATGTGTGTGTGCGTATAATCTAGTTATACTGTCTTGTAAACCATGGTTTCCAATCATGACTCTAGTTATGACTCTTGGCTACACATAACTGAACACTTGATCCCTAAACGCCCATGTGCGTATGTATATAAATATATTATATATATATAGAGAGAGAGAGAGAGAGAGGAGTGAGAGAGAGAGAGAGAGAGAGAGAGAGAGAGAGTTATGGTTTGCATTAGTGCTGAAAATTTCTCTTAAAGTGTCTATTACTGATAGATTACCTTATATATATATATATATATATATATATATATAATATATATATATTATATATATATATATATATATATATATATATATATATTATATATATATAATCTATCAGTAATAGACACATTAAGAGAAATTTTTAGCACTAATGCAAACCTAAACTCAGTTATGATGGTGGACCATTGCGATTGGGTTTAATTGTCAACAAATATAGTTTATATCGATTTTTTTTTTTTTATAAAGTCAACTAGTCGACTATTCATGAATGCCTTAGGAAATTTCGATAGCGTATATTGCACAAGTAATAGGCAATCAGATTTTGGGGTCAATAAATATTTTATATAATTACACAAAACCAACAATAAATTCTGAAAAGTTTTAAACTAAGAAATGTCCAAATATAGATGAGTGGATGAGAATTAAACAACCTAGATAAAACGAACATCCAGCCTCTTTCCATTAAAGAAGTCAACAACCAATCGCCTATTGCTGCATGGCATCTCTTGAGGTTTAGGCATCACTCTCTTATAAGAGTGTGCGAACAAATAAATTGTTCTATAAGTAAATTTAATCATAGCTGTGCTTTATATATTGAGTGTATAAAGCTCATTGTTTATTGTTGATTTGAAAGCTGCCTGTTACTAGTACACAGTTTATTATTGGTACATTTACCTCAATGATTGAGAAGTATCTATATATGTGAAAATTTGTTAATTGAATAAATATATTTATTTTTATTTATAAATGTTTTGCGCTCTTCAACCACCTGGGTCATTTTTGCCCTTTATTACAATTGGATCAACTACTATATAGGCATACGTAACAAATCTACAGCTGACAAATACAATAGAATAGATTAAATATAGAGAGTTAGAAATAGTTACAGGTCAATATGATAGTACAATTAAAAGTTAAAATTGAAAAGGAGATAAGTTAACAAAGACAATTAAAACAAAGGTTAATGATTTAAGAACACAAATGCTAAAAAAAAATTTTAAAAAATAAAAATAAATATTAATAGAAGAGAAGTTAAAGAGTATAGTTTAAATATATATATATATATATTTCTTAATGATATTTACAACTGTATTAAAGAAATACGTTTAGTAAATTTGAACATATGTATATAATGACGTGAAAAAAACTTGTTGAAAAACTATCCAATGTTAGTTAGCACTCTAATAATATGTCTACATTATTAGATCACGGGGCCATCTTCTTTTCAGACGCCTCGGCGGGTTAACAGGAATTGAAGAGGAAGCAAGGTTAGAAACGAGAGGGTTGGGATAATTCTAAAGTTTATTATGGAAGGATAGGTATCTGGATTGGGCCAGATCATAAGCAACATAAGAAACATTAAGGTCATAATGGATGGTTTTATTTGTAACAAAGTAGGAAGCATTAAGGATTTTACAAATTATTTCGGATTGTAAAGATTGGATACGAGAGGAATTCGATGGATTAGTGGAGCCCCATAGCTCAACTCCGTAATTCCAAATATGCCTTGTTATAGTCATGTATATGAGTCTTTGTAATTAATTGGAAGTTTAGAGCGTTTGTCTAGCAGTTTGTGCTGAACGTCGAGCAGTTTTTTGTCGTTTTAGTCTGGTTTGAAGTTTAAATATTAAAAAGTACAAGATGAAAAGTTGACAAAAACCATTAAAATTAAATATTAAAGATTAGAAAAAGGTCAGTTAACAAAGGCATTTAAATAAAAGGTTAATGATTTCAGGAATATAATCTAAAAAATACGGTTAAGAAATAAAATTAATGTTAAAATACGAGACTTTAAAAAGTACAATTTAAATATTAAAATTACAAGAAGGAAAATTGAAAAACTATTAAAGTTAAAAATTAAGATTAAAAGAAGAAAAAATAACAGGATAAATAAATATATAAAATTAACTCAAAAACACCTTTTTTTTACTTTTTCCAAACCAAGCCTGTCACAAGCAATGACAAACAAACTGACTGATGTAATATGGTTCTGGAAATGTAGGCCAGAACTGACATGTGAGGCACAAAGAAGAAAATTTCGCATTGTACATTCCTTTGATCTCCAGTTAAAATTAATTGAAAAGTTAATTAAACCATTTTTGTACTCAACTAATTTTCTAAGGGTTTTGTATCTCATGTTTCATTATTGTTGTGACCTTGTCTTGTTTAATACCGTTAGTGCATGTGTTTTCATGTGGAATCTTTTACACTACTTATTTAAATATTTTCTTTAAGTAAATGAAATGTTAGTAATGACATGTATTTTCTAGCTGTTTCTTACAATCTTTTTTCGCCTTATAAACGTATCCTTAAGATAACATATAATTGTATATAGAATATATATATTTGTGCCTGTAAATAATAAATACTAATATTCCCAATAATTCAAATACTTAACAAAATATATTAGTAATACTAAATATAAAAGGTAATACTAAATGATACTAGTACAAATGATAAAAAACAAAAAAAAACCCTATTATCTATGAAATTATAATGTAAGTATAACAGTCATATGGCTTTAATGATATTAAAATGTAATCCAGGGTAAATATTTGAACTAGGATAATAAAAATAAACACCATTATAGAAAAAAATGAACAAAAATAATTTTAATTAATGAAATAGAACAAATGTACAAACATATTATTTTTTGTGTGTATATTATATAAATTTAAATAAGGCTATTCTGGCCATCCTTCCAAGCCCCGGTAAAACTTTTTTGACATCTGAACTTGCATGAGAAACCATATCCCAAGAATGACAAAGACGGTGGGACAACAGCGCACCTATTAAATTAAAGACAATAAAGAAAGAGGTGCAACCGTGGACCAGCTCCAAACGCAGGAGTCGTAGAGAAGAAGTCGTCTTCATGCAGCTAAGGATCAGACTACTAGATACTAGATACTAGACTGAAACATCATAACAAAAGATATTATCCCCAGATGTCAACAGTATGACCAGTCATTAACCATAAAACATGTTTTGGAAGAGTGTCCATTTTACACCGCAAGGTTAAAAGATCTCGGTTATATGGGCATCCATGGGAAATCAAGAAGAAATCATTACCAAAGTTATGAAGTTCCTAGACAATGAAAGACTTAAAAAACATATATGACAAGTTTATAACTAATGGTCCTTTGCAGATTTAATATATTTTTTTTCTAAATTTTAAAAGTTCATTTATTTATTAATTTCAATTCATTTATGGCTATTGTTTTAAAGTTTATTTAGTTGTGTAATCTGTATTACTGTCTATAAGTGTCTATTATTATTTTTATTTATTTATTTTCTTCTATTAATTTTTTTTTTAACCAACCACCCAGAAAGTATAAAAGTAGTGTTATTTAGTTGATCGGGCACTGATTACATTGATGTTTTGCGCCTAGACATCGAAACATACAAACAAATAAGGCTATGTTATGTTACACTTTTCATTGCACAAACTAATAATTCGAAAAACTGACGGGTTTAATTTTTTTTTTAGAAAATTCATGTTATAATATTCACTGTCCCCTTATATAACCATTTCTTCCCACTTGATAACTAGTGCTGCATTCGGATGCAATCTTTGAATACTTGAAAATTCAAGGAAGGACTTTTTTTCTTACCTTTTTTCTTAGTAGATTATTTTTTTGTGAAAAAGCAGCTAATACTAGGAATGGAGCTATAAATTTCAGAAATAACCGTAAACATGTAAATGAATATACTCAGACCACATGACAAAGAGTCCGTACATTATAGGGTGACATTATTATTACTTAAACTAAAAAAAAAAAATAATCACCAAATACCAAATTATTATCACTGAAACATGAAAAAATAGAAATGAGATTTAAAGAAGGTCACATAGTATAAGGCTCATTTCAAAATTTATTGACTAATATAACGCTCTGTCAAAGGGACGATAATTATAGTGAGGTTAGAATACATTCACACTAAATAAACAGTAAATTTAAAAGAAACAGAAGCAAAATTACAAGTAAATAATAATCAAAGGTATATACAACAAACAAAAGTAAAATAATGAGATAAAATAATATAAATTGTAGAAGAACTGTCATAAGTAAAAATCATGATATTCAAAGAATATAAAACAGTCAAATTGAACCTAATAAGAATTTGTATTTTCCATTAAACATGAAATTTGACTATGGTTTTCAGGTACTTTTTTTTTGTAATTCGATAGGTTTTCTTTTACATCCTAAAATATTTTTTATTATTCACAGAGCATAAGTATATATTTTTGTATATACATGTATATAGAGGTGGGTACATGTATGTAGTAGGGAGCAGGGTGACCGAATGTGCACACGCACACAGAACCGCGCGTTACCCGTCAATCCTTATCAAATATAGTTTCAGTTGGAGTTCCGGTGCCCGGTGGGTCTTTTAACTCAGAGATTAATCTCCAGCACTCACTTTCTGGCCGGGAAAACCTAGCATAACCTAAAAGGCGAATTAGGGGAGTACAAAAAAAAAAAAAAAAGATATATATATATATATAATATTACAATGTTTTTTTTTTCTTCTCTTTTTATTACAATCTCTTATAATTCTACCTTTATATATTAAACTTTAGATATGAATTATAGTCGGATAATAGGTCATGAAATTTAGGACACAAATTTTATTATGAAGTAAACAATAAAAATATCATGAGTATAATACCACATCT